TACAATGAACTGTGCATGTGCAGCTCAGTTTACATTCACTACAGTGCCTTTGTGTCAGGATGACTGTAGTCCTGTGTATGTGCAAGAATGATGTCATGCCAGCCAATAAAGATGATTAAAGACTGCCACCCAAGGAAGCCTGGGAGAAGATGCTGGCGCTAGTGAGGGACCTTGCGGGCATCGGACCATTAAAGCAAAGATGAATAACGCTGACTTTAGTTCCTCTTGAATATAAATGTGCGGTATACCAAAGGTTCAGATGAACAAGAAGTGAACACCTTTCTAAGGGCTGCTGTTGAAGCTGACCATATACCAGTAGAATTTTGGTTAAAAAATGCTGTTTTTTGGATATTTAATTAGTGGGGTCAAATTGCCAATTGTTTCTGACTGTAGTGATGAGAACATTTGAAGGACCAGGGTGGAAAATGTTTTCTCAAACAAATTGAATTCTAATTGTAAATGTGGTTTTCATTTGGGGAAAATCAAGCATATTGTAAGGAGTATATTCTAGGCACAAGAGAAACCTGTTTAATACATCCGGGATTCCATTCAACTAGCAAGTCTGAGTGAAATTTTAGGGGCTTTTGAACAAAATTAGTTGACTCAACAATAGCAGAATCAAATGCTCTACAAACGATTTTTCAGGATTTTCCTGCAAAGGTTCAAACAAAATCCTGATTTTACTGAGTAGCTAAAGACTCATGAGCTTCCAGAACCATTGATGGGAAATCATTCCTGTGTATAGTACATGCAGAGCTGTACAGTAAGGCTGGCCATAGATGACTTATTTATTTTTGATTTATTTTTTTAATTGAATGGATTCCCCCTTCCACACACAAGTGAGGTGGATGCAGTAATCCTCCCCACTGTATCATTGTATTCTGACAGCAGGATTCCTGACAGCTGATCGAGAAAAAATTACCAACAAGCCAACAGAAGTTGACCGATAAATTGACTTCTGTCGAGCCGGAGCTGCCACACATGGATCAAAATTAGACTGGTCCCTGTTGAACCAGCCAAATTTTGATCCAACTATGGCCAGCTTAACGCAGTATTAAGCCCAAAAGTAAACATAGCTGTTTTCCCTTAGCTAAGATGCTGGCGTCTGGACCCGAAGCCAATTGAAGAATCACCTCGGGTGAGGACACTGCTGGATCCCTGGACAGGTAAGTATCCTTATATTAAAAGTCAGCAGCTACAGTATTTGTAAGGCTATGTTCACTTAGCTTTGTTAGCAAGCGTTAGACAGGCGTTTGGGAAGCATTTTTAACGCTCCTCAAATGCCTATGAATATTCTACACATGGCAGCACACAGTGCTGTTCACACTGAAGCGTTACCATCGCGTCATGGCAAAATTGATGCCTCATGTCGAGTCAGGAGGAGTTGAAGCCTCTCATTCAAGTCTATGGTGACGCTCCTCAAACGCCTGGCAGGTGTTTGCGGGGCGGTTGAGAGGCGTTTGCGGAGCGTTAATACCATTAAACTTCATTGTAGGCATTTGTGGTGCGGTTTTAACACTTGTCATAGGGCGTTTGGGGAGCATTTGAGGAGCTTTAAAAACGCTTCCCAAAGGCCTGTCTAACGCCTGTCAAACGCTATAGGGGCGTTTGGCAAGCGTTAGAAATTAGTCAAGTGTGAACGAGCCCTAACTGCTGACTTTTAATTTCCTGGGGGAGACTGGAGCTCCTCTTTAAGATTGGACACAAACAGGCAGTTGCCTCTCCAAAACTAAAGGATTTCTGATACAGCTGTTTGTCCTCAAATACTTTGACATACCATCAGGATTTGCTGTGATGTTCTTGCATGTGCAGTAAAATACTTGTTCCCTTTTTGTCCTACAATTTGAAAGACCTCTGCTGAGGTTCTAAAATTACAAATACCGAAGGTTCCCGTGTAACAAAGTAAGTGATAATGCGCCATTGAAATCATCCAATCAGCATCATTTTCATTATTCTCTCTGGTTACTATGAGTTACTTCAATCTGTTATTCCTTCTATTGCCCTAAATTAGCCTCATTTGCTTTTGTTATTCTTTGTGGTAAACACAGATTTTCTCCCCTGTGCACTCCATGCCATTACAATGGGAGAATAGTTAGGCTTTAGCTGTTTCTTTTGTATGAGCACAATATGTATGTAAGCATCCTTTGTGTGCGTGTATGCGGGGGATGCATGTTTTATGTGTGTGAGAGTGAGAAAGAGATGTATGCCTTCCTCCTTCAGGAAATGATTTGCTTGCTGCTCTTAACATTCCCTGCAGGGGGAGAACGAGATAGACATAGGGAGAGTCAGACTCACTGGCAGTGAGACACACACACACACTCACACACACGCACACACACATACACACGCACGCACAGGCCAGCAAGCAAACATACACAGCTCAGACACTATACACACCAGATCAGCTCTGACACGCATATGGCAGCTTGCACTACACAGCTTGCTGGTACTGTTCTTTAATAAACATGCACATGAGCCGGTGACACACAGCACTGTCAGGCTCATTTGTGGAGATGTCACATACTGACAGTTCCACCATATGAAGCTCTGTTGCCTTCAGCCAAATACAGCTGTGACATCTACACATAGAGAGTTGTGTCTCCTACATCCCCCCAGTCTGTCACATCCATATTCAGCTGATCAGCGTAGTGTGACCATCTTCGCTCAGCAGGGAAAGATCAGCCAAACGCTTGTTCTGGTGAGTGCTGGAATTGTCGTAGCTTGATATGGATTTGTGGGATTGACATGCCAGAACAGAATGTGTTACACTTGAGGAACACTCGCTAGCTCTTTGGCAGTGGAAGGGTAGATTGCTTCTTAGATTTCTGTAATGCGTGGATTTATCACACTGTACATTATTTTTTTTGTTGTCGTTCTTGCATGGGAGGCTTAAGCGTTAAGCGAGGAATGATAAAACGCATGTTTGGGACATGATACATTAGTCTTTTAGTGGATCGATAATCTGATGTTCTTACAGGATGTCCATGTTCATCAGTATTGATAGTAATGGGGGGGCATGCCTTTGATTACTAGTGGGTTAATGAAGAGGTACTCTGCAGTGAGCTGGCATGAATGTGTATAGAGGATCTGTCAATTTTTTGGTGACCATAGGGTTAAAGGAGACATGCTCTCCAAGTCAGGATTGGGTCGAGTTTTACAGTGGATGCTCTTTGGGTCTTTGCCGGGGTGGTGAGCCTCCTCCCCCATATTGTCCTGTAAATAGCACATACTTTCCCTACTCCCAGACTGACCCCCCCCCCCCCCCCCAGACATACCGAGCATTCCTGTAACTCTTCCCAGGCCCGGGAGGCAGGGAAGCTGGACCTATACTCATGTATGTGTATACACATACCCAGCGCTGTCACATTGCTGTACAGACTTACAGACCAGCTAATGTCACAGGCACATGCCGTGATCTGTCAAGTTACTGCACAGACATGCCGAAACACACACCTATAGTACTGCTTGTTGGCACCTACATGTATTACACAAATGTTCCACCTGTGCACAAGGTATACGTATCCCTAAAAATCAAAAGAAATAGATGAGTGCAATGTTAATCAGACAATTCCATCTATAATCTTTATCATGAATGTAAGCATTTGCACTGAAAAAGCTCCGATAAAGAGTTAATAGAGCAACAATTTGCAAAACTCTGGTAGGGGAGTGTGTTCTCTCACACCCATATGTGATTCAGAGACAGGACGTTGGACCTAGTGTTGGGGGGGGGGGGGGTCGTTGCCAGTGTCCAGACTTTTAATGTCTTCCTTTCTTACAGAACGGAAATAAGTAGTAGAGAACCGCTGATACTGCAATACTGGAAATACAGATGAGGCTTTTAGGCCTGTCCTAGAGATGGTGCTGAAAGGCCTGTGGATTGCTAGATGCTTCTGCATGAATGAAGTCATAAATAGAATGTCCTGGGAGAAGGATTCTGGGGATGTAAGTGGAATGTTAAGTTGGGAATAGTAAGAGGTGGCTGTGAGGTCACGACATAAATAGTGGAAATAGTTATGCCTAAATTGGTAAATTGATACTCCTACAAAAGGTTACGCATTTTTACAAAGACTAAAAAAAATCACTAAAATGCATCAGTAAACCGCTAGAAGAATGTTGGCAGCCGGACTGGCAAATATTCATAGTCCATTTATCATGCTCATAGAAATAAAGCAACAGCAATTCCTAGGTCTGGAAATCATGCATGTAAGGGTGCTTAGGGAAAAAGACAGGATGACCACCGAAGTAAATTAAGAGGTGAAGGCAGCTGTGTCTATAGAGAGGGACTGGCACTTTGATTCCACATACTTGTTCTCAGTTTACTTGACAACTATTGAGGGGGAGTATGGCATTACAATTTTCTATATATAATTTTCTGTGCAGCAGGTTGGCAAAGCATAGTCAAAGAGGGAGTTTGGCACAGGCAATTCACATCTTACATCATGTCAGATAACAACCAATGAGCCATTATTTTCCTTGTTCTGACTACCCCAACTGATGAAAAGGTGGAAGCTGGCCATATTGTTTCTTTTTTTGCATTACCGATTAAATAACTGTCTCCAGTGCACTGGTACTGAATGTAAAAGCAATAAATACAATGAGAGATATCTATTCATAATGTCTATTCTGTACCTTTCAACTGGTAGAGAGTGTAAATGACAAACTACAATAAAGGCATAATGTTATTGTTTGAAAATTAAATAAAACATTACTACACAGAAAAGATTCATTGTTCTACCGTGTGCCATTACTGAGAAGGTAGCACCTGCCACGTCATGCTGACATGTATTTTGTTGGTTCTTTATCCTTTATATTACCTATTTTGTGTATTTAGAAAGTGTTGGCTTTTCGTTTTTATCTCTATGGTAATTGTTATATTTCCTTTTCTCTTAACAGATGTATGAAATTTTTACTCCACCTGACACGCATGCTTTGTGATCTATGAACTTCTGAGTAGCACTCAGTTTTGTGGCCTGGTGCCATGCTCTGCAATACCTGCCATAATGTCAGCTTGTGGCTCATTTACAGAGCATGTCTGGAAGCCAGGAGAATGCAAGAACTGCTTTCAGCCCAAAGGCCAGCACCAGTTATCAGCTCTTGGCAGAGGTGCTGGACAGCCACCTCCTCCTCCTCCACCACCTCCACCCTACCGAGCACAACATACCAAAGTCAACCAATGCCAGCGACCACGTACCAGCACTGGATTCAGGCCTCCTGTGGCCAAGAAACCCACAATTGCTGTAAAACCCACTATGATAGCAGTTGATGGAGCTGGCAGCCATCCTTTACAAGGTCAGGCCAGATCACCCCTGCCTGCTCCAAACACCAGAACCCAAGCACTTCCTGTGGTTTGTAATGATGATCGCACAAATAACAACATGGGGGCAGAGCAGATAGTTGTCTCTAATAACAATCATGTGGGTAGTAGTGGACTTACAGAAGTTTTGAAAGAGATAGCTGGTTTAGGAGGTAGCCCATTGGAACCTATGCTTCAACCAGAAGGAACTCCTCGAGAAAATTTTCTATGTCGTATCAACCAGTGTTATAGACGATCTTTAGAGAGAAAGCCATCTGCCAGTTGTTTATCTGGCAGTCATCATGATGGAGGTGGGTCAAAGAAAAGTGTTCGAAGAGTAGCAGTAAGTGGAGAAGAAAGTGCAATCATCGGAATGGATGGTGGACGCTTCTGCTACCCAGAATTCTCCAGTGGAGATGAAAGCTGGGATGAGGAAGATGACGGCGACAGAGGAGAGCGGGAAAGCTGGGAAGAGAGTGACGAAGAACTGTTGGCCATGGAGATCCGTATGAGGGGGCAACCACGTTTTGCCAATTTACAAAGTGGCAGTTTATCTCCAGTTCCAGGAAGACTAGGGAGAAGAGAGAAATGGAACACTGTGCCATTGAGACAAAAATCACTGCAGAGGGTTTGTGCTGTGGATTATGATGACAGCTATGATGAAATTCTAAATGGCTGTGAGGTCATAGGAGAGGGTCATGAAATAATTACCATCTCTCCTTCTCCTGATCCCTCAATGGTGGATTCTTTATCTTGTCCTCCCTCATCCTCATCATCATCTTCTTCCTCCTCTTCCTCAGGGGGACTGTTTTGTAATGGAAGTATAGGGACAGAGAAAGCCTTGGGTCTTGGGCCAGAAGGTATAATGCAAGATGTGATTCAAGATGCTGGTATGGCTCAGGCAAAGCCTTATCGTGTAGTGAGCTTGGAGCAGCCAGTCTGTAAGCCATATACAGTAGTTGATGTTTCTGCTGCAATGGCTGGTGAGAGTGCTTCCCGTGTAAACACAAAAGTTAAGTCAAGCTCTACCCGCTATCAGGAAGTCTGGACATCAAGCACTAGCCCTCGACAAAATCTTGCAAAGACTGAGACAGCAGAAGCACCTAATCGAAGTTGCTATAAGTCAGCCCCAACCTCTCCTACTGCTGGATTGAGTGCCCATACTGTACCTGTTCGTTCTCCAAACTTGTCAGAAATTAAATTCAATAGCTACAACAATGCAGGGATGCCACCTTTTCCTATTATAATTCATGATGAACCAGAATATGCCCATAGCTGCAAAAGCGCTGACAAAGTGCCCATACTTATTAACCCTAGTGCGTATGATAACTTAGCTATTTACAGAAGTTTTGTGGGTGCTGGTGGAGTCTTTCCACCACCCCCAGACAAAGAAAAGAGACAGACAGGAAGTCATACATACGAGGAAATAGAAACTCCTGCAAGAACAAAAAGAAAAGAAGAATCTGCAGATGTGGCTCTTCATGAGACAAGTGGCTGTCCTAGGGAGAGTGCCAACCGTGTTTTGTCTCAGATTGTGGCATCCATCCAGCCACCTCGCTCTCCACCAGAGGCTCTTACTCCCGAGTCTCACAGCAGTGATGAACATCGGCCGACAGAAACCCAGTCAGACCCAGAAGTCCCTCCAGGCTCCTTGGGAAGGCCAAAAACTTTATTTTCCTCACACAGTGAAACTTTAGGGAATGTTAATTTAAACAAAACATCTCCTGCACTATCCAGTGATGACAGCCCAACTGTGTCTTCCACAACAGAGCCTCTTCCACCTTTCCCACCTCCACGTTCTACTTCTTCACCCTACCATGCTAGCATGCTTCACAAACATTTTGCAACTCGAGGGAAACAAGTGGGCACAAATCGCCCATCACCAACTGACACTGCAACACAGCCACGTAGGCCAGCAGATGGCAAACCACGCCGTTGGATATCCTTCAAAAGTTTTTTCAGGAGGAAGAAAGAAGGAGGTGGTCAAGGAGGCTGTGAAGACAGAGGAGATGAGGGTAAACTGTTGGGGCTAGATGGTACAGTTATCCACATGCTTCCTCCACCACCAGTTCAAAGACACCATTGGTTCAGTGAAAGCCGAGGAGAAGGTGGAGAAAAGCCATCTATTGTGTTCATGTATCGGTCAGAAAATGAAGGAATGGCCACAAGCCCACAGGATAACATGGATGCTGAGACAAAGTCCAGCAGGTAAAATACTTTCACTGATAGATCACATGTTTGCATAAATTTAAAAATGTGACATTTTTGCCAAATTGTTTTATGAGAAAAGTAGCCTTTAAAAAAATCTTGGCCCCAATTTTGCACAGCTTACCTGGAATGTGGGTTCTTGTGTGATCAATCATTTATGTGAGTCCCACATCATTGAAGGTCTGAAATTTTGCCAAAACAAAAAAAATATTTTCTTTAGCTTTAGTGACATACCTATAATGTTGCATGACCCACATTGTGCAGGCAGCTGGATCCCATAGAAATCTTCTGTGCAGGGGGCTCTGTACTGCCGCTGAACATTTGTCCCTGTTGGGGTTAATAATAGCTCCGAGTCTTCTGTGAAGCTGTAGTTAAAGAGATATTAAAGCTTCGTTTTTGTTTTTTTTTTTTTTTTTGTGTTTTTTTTCTAAATAACTAAAATGTCATACTTACCTGCTCTTGTCATACTTACCTGCTCAAGGCTCCTCCCTTGACCAGTGCCCCCAGTCGCAAGATGCTTGCTATGGGGGTACTGGTGCATGCTCATCCCCGAGACACTCTCTATGCATCCATAAGACACAGAGCTGCAGCTTGGGCCCTGCCCCCCACTCTTTCCTTATTGGCTCACTGGCTGTGAGTGAGCCGCTGCTGTCTCAACCAATGAGGAGAGAGAGACTTGGGACAGCCAAGGCTCTCGTGCATATTGCTGGATCAAGAGGGGGCTGTGGGGGGAGCAGCACACAGAAGATTTTTTTTACCTTCAGCCTTTACAACCACTTTGAGAATGGGAACCACTCATCCCTTCCCCCTTCTTTTGTGATCCATCCTGTGATGGCTTTTTCTCAGTGGGGGAGGAGGGGGTGTGCCCCTGTCGGGAGCTTGATCACTGCAAAATATAAATATATATATATATATATATATATATATATATATATATTTATTTTTTACCAAACTTCAAGTTTAAGCCAGGGTTCACACAGGAAATGGTGCGCATCCTGTGCGTTTCCCGCATCGCATTGCAATCGCATGGAATTCATGCGAACTGGTGTGGGGTTCAGTGATAAATTAGTGACACACTGAAACAGATCAAAAAACGTGATGCGATTCACCAGAAATCGCATCATATGGGTGAGAACACCCATGTGATGCGATTCAGGTGTGCGGATAAAAAAAGGATCCTGCACCTTTTTGGTGCGGATGTGATGCGATTTGAGCCATACAAAATGTACGGCTCAAATCCCACCGCACGGACATTTGCATGTAATTCGCACAGAAATGCGGTGCGATTCCTGTGCAAATTACATGAGGTATCCTGCACCGCATTAGTGTGCACCCAGACTCATAAAGCTTTATAGATTTTGGTGATCCACATATATATACAACTGTTTAGTCTCTTGTTCCATACTTTTACAAAGTAGTTGTTAGTATGTACTACATATATGGAGTGTCTCATAGCACACTTCAAAGCCAGCTGTGCCTGCCCCCTCCAGCCCAGGGCTCCAGTGACCACTCAGTTCTTGTTCTGACGAGCATGTATATTTTTTTAGTAACCCATTCATCTCCTTTAAGCACTTAAACTTTTTTCGTGTTTTCTTAACGTGTATGTCAAGTCAGATCTTTTTTTTCTTAGGCAACATTAAAACCTACTTACTGCTATCCTGGGGCTTCATTCCTGTCCAGCTGACAATGTTTTACTAAACAGAAAGTAATGGAAGCTTTCCAACAATGACACCTACAGAAGTAAAAATTATTTTCTGTAGTAGAGTAGGGGAATACTAGAACCCCATCAGATTTTTTTTACACCCCCTCCATGGGATTTATTATTTATTTAATACAGGTACTTATATAGTGCCATCAATTTACGCAGCGCTTTTTTACATATATATTGTACATTCATATCAGTCCCTAACCCTCAAGGGGCATACAATCTAAAGTCCCTAACTCACATTCATACATACACATACAAGGGCAAATTTAGACAGGATCCAATACCAGAGGGTTAAAATTGCAGGAAATTGGAAGCCTTTTTCCATTGGAAAAATATGAGGTCGTTTGCATTCTAGAGAAGTATATATGATTAATATCAAAATTCAAAAATCGAATGGAGAGATGAGCATATCTGGTCAATCTGATGTGCTTATCAAAAAAAGAATTACTGTCTTGGAAACTTTTTTTATTTCTGTATGTGTCAGAGTTTCAACAGGTGAAACCGTTGTCATCAGAACAGGAAGTGAGGGTAACACTCTAATAGAGCAGTAAAAGCCCAACAGGAGTTCTTAATCATCAAGACCGTATATAACATGAGGTTGATGGTCTAAATGTAAAATTATATATTACTTTCTACATTGTATTGTAATTATTTCTCGTGTACTATTAATTTGAGCGATCTTGTAGTTGCCAAATTTACTCTGAAGATCCCCACACATTTACTTCCTTGAATTCTGTGACACGTATTCACTATGACCTGTGAGTAGGCACTGCTGTGTCACACATTTAACAGAGCTTGCCCTCTGAACTACAGAGGTGCTGAGAGGAGGAGTTTCAGGAGGCGGAGTCAGAACAGCACTCACAGCTTGCAAACAGCAAGTTACCATGGGATATGTAGTCCTTAGAAGTGAAAAGTAAATAGCAGAGAAAAAGCTGCAAAGCATGCTGGGACCCCAAGAAGTTTTGGAAAGCAGCAAACTAACAACATGAAAGGAGAGTTTTCAAGTAGCTTTATATTGGATTGTCAATAATAACTATTTTTATTACAATGCTGATGTTCTAAAATGGAAGTGTGTGCTGTAACCATAGAACTCCTTTAAAGTATATGTAAACCCTCACCTTGTAAAACAACACATTCAGTTTAAAATAGAAATGAAAGGCAAAACATTTGTGTATAGATTTAAAAAAACATTATAAACGCCTTCGTTTTCTCCTTTTATATAGGTGATCACATTTCCTGTGTTCTCAGCTACATATGGATCTTAGGCTACGTTCACACTAGCCTTGTGTGCAGGCAGCTGAGAGGTGTTTGGGAAGCGTTTTTTACCACTTCCCAAACGCCTCTGCCAATTCTGCACATTACAGCACATGGTGCTGTTCTAACGGGAGCGTTTGCGTTGCGGCAAAACGGACGCCTCTGGTCGAGTCAGGAGGCGTTGAAGCCTCCTATTCTAGTCTATGGTGCCGCTCCGCAAACGCCGGCCGGCGTTTGCGGTGTGGTTGCGACGCGGTTGCGGGGTGTTTGCGGATCGGTAACACCATTCAAACTGCATTATAGGCGTTTGTGGGGCGTTTTTAACGCTCGGCAAACACCTAGCAACCGCCGCATGTGGCGTTTGCGAAGCGTTTGAGGAGCTTTAAAAAATGCTCCGCAAACGCCAGACCAACGCTTGCCAAACGCTATAGGGGCGTTTGGCAAGCATTGGTAAAACAGTCAAGTGTGAACGAGCCCTTAGAGAGCTGGGGGAGGAGAAGCAGCAGCAGCATATACTGATCTTACCAGTGTGGCTGTGCAGAGGAGGGGGAGGGGGGCATGTCAGCCCAAGCATGATCATTGGAAGACAGCAGGCAGAATTCTGAGCACAGCTACAGAGCTGACCACGCTGTGCTTTCCTGTTTGGTGTGGTCAGTTTTTAATAGGAAAGCAGAGGAATGGGCAGGAACACCAGGGATTTCACACAAAGGAAGCAATACAAAGAGAAGTGGACACTTTATCATAAAAGTACAGGGTACAGCAGGCACATATCAGGAATATGAAATTTTAGGTTCCATTTTTAATGTTAAACATTGGGTTATTATGTTACAAGAGTTTCATGACCATATAAATATATGAAGTGAAAGATGACATCACAGCTCTGTAGTAGTGAGATGTGTTTGTTTATCCCACGTTAGCAGTATGCTGATCTATGTATGACTGTACACGTGTGAAACTTTGAAACAGTTTTTTATATCACATAGACATGCAGACATTCCAGAATAGTGGAAGTCTCGGTGTGATGTATTAGTCACCGCAATTCAAATAGTGCAGGCAGTTTCCAGCATAGATAACCCTGTCAGTGTCCTGTCACACTTCCTTTTTGATGCGTCTCCTTCCTCTTCCTTGCTATGCTATTCTGCCTGTTCAGTTGCAGTTTCTTCTACCACTGGAAATACCTCTTTTCCCACTGTACCCCAATAGCCATCTATATTTGTCAAACATTTGATTCCATGGGCAGGTATGTTTTTGCACAAATTGGGGTGTTCATGTCATCCTTTTTGCCATTTTAGGGCTGAAATAAGGGATTAAGATAAAATCCAGGAGTTATTCTGTCCGTTGCAAGAAATGGGAGCTGCTTTAATAGGGTGAAATGGGCAAATGTGCTTCCATTGACAACAACTGAGGAAGTTCAAAAAGAAAACAGACAGCTATTTGGTTTTCAGTATATTGACTACCTGGCTTCTACACTGTATGATGACTACTTTAATCCCTCCTCCTCCCCAGTTTCTTATCAGTGGTGGAGGAAGGGGGGCGGTATGTGTGTGCGCTGAGCTGTCAGAGGGGTGGGTATCTGGTGACACTCCTTTACAGGTAAACACAAAGGTTAGGTCAGACCTCAGGACATATGATTAGTACTTCTCACATGAACTGCATATTCGAAAATGGGAACTTGTGTCAGCAGCAAGGCATGGTGAGGAACCAAACGTCCTTTTATTTGTTATGTCTGTCTGTACAGTTTTCTAGCTACTTTTGTTTAGTACTGCCATGCCTTCTGCTTACCTTGCGGTTGTGTATTTTCTGTGCAAAGAAACCGACAACATACAATAAAGGTGTTAATTAACAGTAAAGAATGACTGAATAATGTGATCTAGTGCTAACCATCTCTTATCAATCTCTCGTTTGCAGCACCCCAGAGGAAATGCCTGCACAAGGCTCCCCTTCTTTAGCACCCATGTTGCCCCCTTTGCCTAGTGATCAGAATGTGACGGACACTTCACCCACACCTGCTGACAGTGATGGCCAGACTTGTGAAAAGCCAGAAGTTGTTTCTGACAGTTCATCAGACTGCAGCCCAGGGGGAGCCACCTACAGCAACTTAGGTGAGAATCACCTGCACTTAGTAACATAGTAAACCCCATAAATAAGGAATGATTTCGTACATATCTGCTCCCTGATATATTGTCCGTTACTGGGAGCTAGGTACAAGTGTGCCAATCAATTTGTGACATGGCTAACAAAGTCTGCCAGATGGAATTGTTTCCTTATAGAATTGGTTTACATTAAAAGATCTCTACACTGGTCATTGTCAATGGATCACACCCCTTTTAAAACAATTCCATAGGCATAAAAATGTATAGATGTCCAGGGTAAGATGAAATACACAGAAATAAACAGTATTTATATAGTATATCTCTGAGGATTTCATCAGTGATGTTTTGCAAGTTTGTGTACTGGTTTATTAAACACTTTACCTCTGGAAGATTTTCCACCTACATGACCAAAGCATTTTTTTTTTGCTATTCAGCACTGTACTACTATAACTGCCAATTGTTCAGTCATGCAACACTGTATCTAAATAAAATTTATTTAATTTTTTTTCACACAAACAGAGCTTTTTTTTGGTGATATTTCATCACCACCGGGGTTTTTATATTTATGATATAAACAAAAAAACTATATTTTCTACTTCTGTTATAAAACATATCCATTATTCACAAATTTAGGCCAAAATGTATCCTGCTATATGCCTTTTGGTAGAAAAAAAAAAAAAGTATTTAATAAAGTTAGTGTCTACAAAAGTGTGTGTGTGTAAATATATATAGATATATATAGATATATAATATGGAATTTACGTAGCTATGACGCTATACTGATAATGTGGCGGTCAACCTGGTGCTAACAGACCCTCGCTATGAGGATCAATAACTGATTAACTGACAATAATATCATTAGTTACACTAATGCAGTGATCAGATATAATACTGTACATTGTATTAATGACACTGTGTGGCAAACAAGTGTAATATGTGCTGCTTTTACTACAGGATCTAGCTGTTGTTTCTCCCTGTTTTACAGGGAGAAGAAACGGCCAGATCGCTGATCTGTGTACAGAGCCATGTGTGTTTGTAAACACAGGACTCTATGCTGTGATTGGCTACAGCTGATCAGCAGGTTTCAGCCATAAATAATTGCCCAGGACCTGCTGACAAAATCCAGCTTTAGCCGGTAACAGCACGGGTTAGCAGGAAGTGCACGCCCCTAACTTGGAACAGACTGGATGATGTACATGTACGTGATCCAGCCTGCCCACAGTGTACTTTGGGCAGGCAGGAAATGGTTAAATTTGTGTCATATGTAAATTTTGTGATCTGCTAGAGAATGCTAGGGAATGAAGACAATAAAACCTGATGAAGGTTTAAACCCTCTACAACTGTACGAACAATCTCTTTTTTTTACATTTTTTTCACCCCTTACGTCCTGTGACTGTGACCACCGTCACTGAGACAGGAATTAAAAGAAATCCCCAATCCAAAGGCACAAGTGTAACCCTTCCTTCACTATCCAAATCAAACGAAAAAGTTTTAATTTGAGTTCCACTTTAAAAGGTCAGTCCACCCAAAAGTAATATTTTGATTATAGGTTGACACTAGTGAGTGAGCCATCCCTTGCCTTCTTATTATATGTCTTGTATACATTAACAGTTATTCTCTCTATCATAATTCCTGGCTTTCCATTTGGAGCTTTAAGTGGTCCCACTCCCCTTTGCATGTTCTAGCATCTCCTTTTGCATTCTCCATAGTGCAAAAAAAATCCATCAGGGAGAGTAAGACCCTCTCATAATGTCCACAGCAGGTGTGCAGACAATGGAACTCAGCACAGAAATCTCACCAGTAGATTCCCTGTAGAGTAGAGTAAAGGAACCTGGCAGTTTAATTCCCCAGCAACTACCAAAAACTGAATTATCAGTTATGTGTGATCTGATCCCTTAAATACAAATCAGTACCTACAGTAATCTATTATAACAGTGTTCAGACTCTAGAAATAAGCAACTATGTTTGTTTAACCTGTTGTTACCTGCATATCACATATGTGCAGCTGCAAAAGGGGACTTTAACACCTACATGCCGCACATATACATCACTGGATGATCAAAGACAGCTTTTGGTGCCTGTTAATGAACGGTAGCTGGCAGGACCTGCTCCTGATCATGTGACCACTGTGACAGCCATTGACAGTGATCACATGATGGACGATCCTTCCCAACACCTCCAACCCCTCCCTTTCCCCAGACTCAGGACTTTTTAAAGGGATGCTGGGGCGGGGTGGTGAGAGATTAATTTAAAAATGTGTTCAATTTACTCAAACAAGACTCTTTGATGCATCTCCACCTTGACAAGCAGAGGTCATTGTGGAATTTCTGGATAATGGCTGCATCTGACTGCAAGCTTGATCTTGATAAAAGCTAGCTTTTAGTGTTTGTAAACCCTAAGGGCTTGTTCACACACATAGTGCTCTATGAAGAGATATCTGCATATGGATCACATTTCAGAGGGCATTTGACAGGTGGCGAGGTGGTGATATGTCACCTCCTTGCTGCCTGATCTATCCTTGTAAATGCTGCACAACTGCGCTGCAATTGCAGGCATTGTATGTGGTTGCAGTGCAGCTCCATAGACTTGCATTGGTAACGCCCACCAATATAGCTGCCACACTGGTCATTCAGGAAAAACCTGACAGGCTGGTTGTACAGAAGTCAATCGGTAAAACCACCCTTCTAACAGAAGACCTCCGTACAACCAGCCTGCCCATACATAGATCAAAATTCATCCTGTCCCAGAGTAAAGGTGGCTATATACTGGAAGAATTTTGTTACTATTTTTTTTTGTTTATGTTTTAGGAACGTTCCTTTGATTTTCTAATTGCAATTGGAGTCATATTGCCATTCATTTTCAACCACAATGATGAGAAAATTCAAAAGAGCAGGATGGAAAATTTTTCATATGTTGAACACATTTCTAACAGTAAATGTGGTTTTCGTTTGGGAAATTACATTCAATCTGAAAAATGAATGTTACAAATATTTGTACCTTTGAAAACCTACTAGTGTATAGCTAGCTTGAGAGTGATTGTCAATAATGAACAATTTCAATTAATACTGCCTGTAAAGATAGAGGTGCTATTCTCCATTGAAGGTATAAATAATTAACAATTCCACAACAATGTTGAATTTTGTTGGTAGAAAGCGGTGCTATTGTGTATAGTGGTGATTTTTTTTTTTCATTCATTAGGGCATTAGTCTTGTTTTTAATTGTTTTTATAGCTGGTGTCTTTTTTTTTATTGTGTACATTTTTGATTTAGTAATAGTAAATGAATGCACTGTTACTATAGACTACATTAGGTATTGAGAGGGAGGTACAGTATGTCTCTAGTAGCAATTTTTTTATACAGTACTAAAAATGATAATATACAGAACTAGGATATCAGTTGTAATCCATAGAGTTGTTGTGCTAGTTTCTTTATAATGAACAATAATAAATATTAGAATGGCGATGCACATTAGTAGATCATCTTATAGTCTAGTATTTTCTGCTCACAGGTCATTCTCGGGCAAATATGATCCCTTACAAGCAGCCTCGGCAGACTCGTGGTGGAAGCCCTCCTGAAGAATCAGAGCCACTTCCATCTCCTCCTCCCCTTCCAAAGAAGAATCAGACACCGCGTCAGTGCACACCAGACAGGACACCTGGGACAGTACTCAGCCTGGCCAATCCCACGTATGATACAGAGCGCAGCTGGGAGGTTGGTGGAAATGAGTCAGGAAATTCTGTAGAAAAGCCCAAGGGTTCAGGAGGGAGAATCGCAGAGCTACAAGCTGAGGCCCTTCGTCGCTTCTATGCCCGTTGTGAGGACATCTTCATGGCAGGACAAAGAGAACCAGTCAACTTTGGATTGGAGAGTTGGCCAGATTTCCGACTAGCTAGTTCCACACCTTGTTGCCAGGCTGGAGATGCTGTATATTACCGGGCGTCATATGCTCGGGACCCTGGGAATCTTTATGCTGTAAAGGTAAGTCAGTTTTATGCTGGTATTTTAAACAATGTCAAATGATACTAGTGTGTTACATTCCTGTAAATGGAAGGCAAACACATATTAGTTGGCACTCTCTAAGCTCTTTCTAAAAATGTATTTATTCTCCAGTGTAGATACACCATGTTACTTAGAGCATGTTTCAATGCTCAGCCAGCTGGGTGCAAACAAACCAGTACCTAAGATGGCCATACATGCCTCAGTTTTTTGTTTTTTTTTGCCAGCCAGCTGAATGAAAAGAACTTAACCAATTTCTTTATTGTACATCACTGGACACAAAGCAAGCTGTAGTCATTACCATCTGGGTTATGCACCACCTATAGGTGAATGGACACAGGCCAACCAAAAACAGACAGGAATCCTCCACTGTATAACCCCACCCCCCTTACAGGAAGAACATCAGTTTTTTGCCAGTGTCTTGAATGTGATGGTCACTGAAGTTCAGCTCTCTGCTTAAAGTATTGGTGGTCTCGAAAGGTCCTAATTAGATTCAAGGGACAGGTGTGGGATCCATTCAGATGGTTGAATGCCCCAAGCCCCGCTGCAGTGAATAGAATCTTGGAGGGGTTTGCCTGTAATGCAGCCTTTTAGCGCTGGACCCTGCATATGCAACCGTGTGCAGTTGGTCTTACCAAGGTGTTTCCTGGCAGGGTGCTGTACAGATCCAAAGGGGTGGACCACAGACCAAGTCCTTGAAGGTCCTTAGTGACAAAGCCTGCCGTGGTGAGTGAAGATTGGATTTCTGTCTATTGACAAGATCCTGTGGCTGAATCCTCATCCACACATTTGAAGTGAATGGGGGAAATCCTCCTTAGCGAGTCTTTGTATTCTGACAGCGGGACTCCCGCACTGTCAAAATACACTGATCAGCACTGCAGCCCATTGGCTGCATGTGCCGATCAATTGCTGGTACTAAAGCTGCTTCTGTTGAACAAACAAGGCTCCACATGGATCGAAATTCAGCCAGTTTCTTCTGTGCTGGCTGAATTTTGATCCATGCAAGGCCAGATTAAAGTGTTACTAAACCCACAAAAGTAAAATCAGTGTGTATATGCAGTAAAGCATGCTTATTATACTCACTGTGGAACCTAAGAGGTTAATCCTCTGTGTTAAAAGGCTGTTTGATCCTTTCTTCTCTGCCCCTCCTCTTGTTGAAATGACCATCTGATACAGACTGAATCCGTAGTAACATGCACATGCTCAGTTTGGTGTGTATTGCTAGAGAGGTTCTTTATTTCTTGGAAGAGTGCATGTGATCAGCACAGGGCCAATCAGCACTGTCCAGACAGAGGGTCAAGGGTATCACATCCTCCTAGAGCATAAATAAAACTCCTCCTAGAAGCTTTAACCAGTGCTCTGCTGAAGTCACAAGACTGCTCTAACTGCTGTTGAGAAAAGGTATTTAGCAGTTTATATTTAATAAAATAATTGCATTTCCATTTTCTGTGTACTGTTGGAGACCAGATATAGTGACTGCAGGGTTCTGGGTTTAGTAACACTTTAAGCCCTTATATCACTGACCTGTTTGAATTCCTTGACATGATTGGTGGCATTTTGTACAGTATGAAGAAATCTACTGAAATTCTTCATCAAAAGTCTTTTCTAAATAACACAAATCTCTGATCTCTGGCATTACATGTTGGGTCATAAAATGTGCATTTGACAGTCACTTTATGAGAAACATACCTCTTTCTTATTGTTTGTAAATCTAGGTGATCCTGAGCAATTCCAGGCATAGTTGAAATACATGTCAGTGATTTTATCAGATAAAATGTTTGTAATTTTGCTCAGCCAGTCTTGTGATTCACACACTTCATCGAGGCATAGTCAGGGGGGACACACCACTATTTCCTGTTGCAGCTTCCTTTATCACCTGCTTGCTCATTGGAAATAAGCATCCCCATATTGTTGAATCATTGGCTAGTTTGCAGGCAGATGAAGCAAGAAGGTGCAGTAATCAATTAAGTGGAATCTTGTGTCTGTGGTATGCAGTGTGGCAGCATTGAACCACATACCTGGCTGAAAAAAAGTGCAAAACTGTTCATATACAGTGTATATGTGAACTGTTTGTGTGTATTTTAATTTTGTATTTAGCTGTTAAATGAGAATGCTAAAGCATGCTACTGCATCTACAAAGTAAATTCAAATAGTCTGTACTATATTCTGATCTTTAATTTTTTTCTTTTTTAATATAGGGAAGTAATTTTTCAGCTTTCAGTCATAATTCTTTGTAAAGATATAAGAAGATCAGAGGTTCTTTTTTCTGCAAAACTGAATAAAAAAGCATTAATTTGTATTCATAGCTTCACATTTTTAAACTATTTTCACATTTTCAAGGGAAGTACATTTTATCAGCTTTCTGCGTTTTCAGTCATACATTCTTCTGTAAGATATATGAAGATCAGAGTTCTTTTTTCTGCTAAACTGAATTAAAAAGCATTATTTGTATTCATAGACTTCACATTTTTTTAAAACTATTTTCACATTTTTAAAATATAGTTACCATATCCATAAATGAATCATAAATTAGCATCATGTTTTGGAACCTTATTCAGTTACACTGATGATAGGCAGTTTGCTGCCAATGCCTCCCTTTATTTCATGCATTGTTTTTATTCCCAGATCTGCCGCAGCAAGTCTAAGCAAGCCCAGAGGGAATATTACCATTGCCTGGCAGTACGGCAAGGCCTCACAGAACATTTCAACATCCAGCAGGATTGTGGGCAATTTCTGGCTGAAGTACCAGCTCGCTTGTTGCCTTGGGAGGATCCGAATGTATCAGAAGAAGAGGAGGATGAAGAAAAGAATGGGGAAACTGTAGAAAAATCTACAGAAAGAAAGGAGGCCCCAGGCAAGAACCTGAAGCATTCTTCTTCTACTAATCAAGGGTCACTGGGTAAACGGAGAAGTCGAGTGGTGGTGATTACACGAGAACCCCCTAGACAGACACTTGCAGACTTTGTAAGGGAGGGAGACTTCCAGCACCGCAGGGATCCAGAGATGTATGAAAGACAAGTGTGCTTACTGCTGCTTCAGTTGTGTGGGGCACTGGAGCATTTAAAAGCGCAGGGAATAACACACTGTGACCTTCGACTAGACAACCTTTTGCTTGCTAGCTGCCGCCCTGGTGAGACAAAGTGTAGCTGCTGTCGAAAGTCTACTACAGAGGAGCAAAATGAGCACCCCAAGGACAAAGGTCCTTCTGAACAGAGAGCTTTTCCATCATGTGCTGGTCGACTGCTCCTCACCAACTTTAGCCAGGCTAAGCTGAAGAGCCAGAGTGTTTGGCGACCACAGGGCTTGGGGGATCCATCAAGAATGGCTCCAGAGATTGTGGGAGCAACACAGTACAGAAGGAGTGATGAGTTCCAGACTGGGATCCTCATTTATGAGCTGTTGCACTTAGCTAACCCCTTTCTAGATGGAGGCTTAAAGGAGCGGGAATATGGACCTTGTGATTTGCCAGCTGTACCACGTCGTTCTCCATACTCACGTGGTCTAGGACGACTTGCAGGTCTTCTTTTGCAGCATAGCCCTTCTGATCGGTTACAGGTGGGGCACGCCAAGGCAGCTCTTCGCTGCTTAATTTGGGGGGCCGCGTGATGATGTGCTGCAAGGGCCAGGATCTCTACATAACTGGTTAGAGGTGAAGAGGACATTGCTCCTAATAAAACTGGCAGAGCGAGCTCTTGAAAGAGAAGGTGGAGTGACTCTAGAGGACTGGTTGTGCTGTCAGTACCTGGCATTTGGCACAGCCCAGGGACTGGCACAGACTCTACGGCTACTGGAACAAAACTGAGGGACATTGTGTCCAAATCCTCCATGGTCTGTGTGCAATAGCTGGGAATTCCCACAAAGGCTCCGTTTAAGAAGCTTGAACGTCCAGTGTTATATACCACTTCCTTCCTGCACAGTCAGGCAGATAACTGCACAAGAAAGATAGGAGCAAATACTCTCAGATTCACTAAATTATGTTTTGACAGTTTTCACTCTAACAATAAGCATACATAAAATGCAGAATAGCTTATTATACCAGCACATAATACACCGCTAATCTCCCTTTAGTCATGAAACCAATTAATTGTTAATCCAGTACTCCCATTTTGGAAAGTTTCACAATCTGTTCTGAGCTGGTATTCTATCAAGGAAGCACAGTAACATCCAAAATTCATATTTCTTAGAAATGTTTTATGTAACTTCATTTCTGTCCTTTATGTAGAAGGAGCCCACAAGCTCTGTTGTCTTCAGTAAATACAAAATCAGCAACACGAAATGATATTCGCTGCTACAGCTTTTGTTCAATGTATAGCTTGGCAACAGTCATAAACGCACAAATGACTTTCATGTAATTTATTTGAAATTATTTGCACTTGAATTAAGCTGTGATTGCCTACATATTTATTTTGCTTTCTACAGTGCTATTGGCACTGCTTTGTGACTCTAGTAAACAAAGAGTTGTCACGAATGTATTGTAGTCATGCTAGGCAAACCATCTTTTATTTACCAACCTATAAAAACACACACATTCTGCAATAATACATCATCCATTGCCGGTAATACATGCTTAGTCACAAAGGAAGCACACAGGTCCACTATCTCACTCACTAACAAGATAGGAATGTACACAGTGTAGCCCATGCCTGGACATACCAGTGACATGCTATGCTAGAAGAAACTGCTAACATCTGCCCGGCTGTGCAGGGAGAGATTACCAGAAATAGTATTAATATGAATTGTTTTAATCTGAATGCTTTTAATACCATAAATCCATATTTATATTTATATACAGCCACACATGCAGTATCTATAAAGAACCACACCCATAGTGTTACAATTCATATATGTACCCATGTATACATAACATGAAGACAGAAGTGTCCTTTGATGCTTCAATTTCCTACTTTAATGGGTAGTGGGTTACTCTTTACTTTTCAGTGCTACAAGGCATTTAGTGTTATCAGGTCCAAAGTGCCTCACTGTGTAAGGGAGAACTCCACTTCTCATTACATCTTTTGCTGTAGGGGCTGATGGGAGCTGGTACACTTAACATTTGTAAGTGCCCTGTACTCTCATCACTCCTTTCTTTCATTTTTCTTGTGGTACTTTTTCCCCTTTAAATGCTGATGTTCCTACTATTACTGTGTTAATAAACCTCTTTTATGGGATTGGTGTTTGTATGCTTAGAAACAGGAGCTTAAAACTGAAGTTTATATTTTTTCTCCCGTTTCCTCTCTCCACTCCTCATCAATATGGTAATGATTTTATAAAGTAAAACCATTCCATTTTCATGACATACTCAATTTTGCTCTGTGACATCATCACTGGGTCTCTTTGCTTTTCTACACAATGCAGGAAGATCATGGCTGGTGGGAGGGGCTGGCAGGGCATCATAAATAGCTTCCTGAAAACATTACAGCACCCTGCCTCAGTGTTCCTCTCAACTGCCTGCAGTCCTGATGCAAGCAGTAGGCTTGTTCTTGGAGGAGTTATTCAAATTTAAAGGAGAAGTACAGCCCAAGCTCATTTGGGGAAAGATCGCAATCATATGGTTAAGATCCACTCAAGAGCCTGGACTGGCACCTGGCTCAGCCTCTTAGCGAGTTACCGAGAGCCTGAGCCAGCCACTGCCAGCCAGTGAGCACTGGGGGGGTTAAGACAGAGCAGACACCGCTCTCTGCTCAGAGTGACTGGAGAACTGAGTGATTACCGGTGTTTGAATGCTCAGTTCTCACCCTTAGAGTGGGCGGGGGACAGATGCAGCACCAGATCAATGCTGCATCCACCTAGGTAAGTATGGTTAAAAAAAAAAAAAAAAACTTCTAACCATTTCCAGCCAAGGCCAATTCTGATATTCTTCTCCTACATGTAAAAAACATGTTTTTTCTAGAAAATTACTATCCCAGTCCCCAAACATTATATATTTTTTAAGCAGAGGCCATAGAGAATAAAATGGTGGGTGTTGCGTAATTTTAGGTCACACGATATTTGCGCAGGAGTTTTTCAAGTGCTATTTTTTTGAAAAAATACACTTTAAAGGAATTTTAATGCACAAAAACACAATATAATACCCAATTGTTTGGTAAATTATAAAATGATGTTACGCCAAGTAAATAGATACCAAACATGGACCCCCTTCCTCTGCCTGTAAAAGTAATCCAGTAGCTCTGTAGTCACTATGATTACTTTTCATTTGTAGGGAATTGCAGGCAGAAGAAAATGCTATCTTGATCATTCATGTAGCTGTAGCGATGACCGAGATATCAAATTTCCTGTCCGAGGATGTGATATATACATAGATAGAGAGAGAAAATAGGTGGTGGATGGATATCAGTCTGGAAGAGTGGGACTTCCTAGGCAGGCTGCATTTGCATGCAGGCCACCCTAGTTTGCACCATCATATGATGATGAGCCTCTATGATTAAAATAATGAATTCCAATGAATAGAAGGGGTATACCGTGGATAGTCTGGCTGGGGACAAAAGAGTTAGATAATGCTGGAAGTCCTCCAGCCTGGAAATGAGACCAGCTCCATCTGACTTGCTGCAGCTTATAATGCACTCTACATAAGGCTCACAGTGTGCACACAAATCAGACCAATCATTTTCAGAAAAAGAGCCTGAACAACACTGAAGATAAATTTGGAGTTCAGCAATAAAACATATCAGCATAAATCACAAGTATTTTTCAAGCACAGCGATATGAACTTCCTTCACTGAAAAGAATAGGTACTGTAGATTAGGTTTTATGTGGTGTTGAGGTGTGTGTAGTAAGGTTGGAAGCTGCAGTGTGAATGGGACCTGAAGGACATCTGCTGAAAACACACAGTCATTATCTACATATTTATGACCTGCACACAGTGGCCTTTCTCCTCTGCCCTCATTTTTCACTAATTAGTGAGTTGGAGACTGAAATTGGAAGCTGATTTAAAGTGAGCAGCTTGTTGACATTAATGAATATACTGGGACAGCAGCTCATCCAGGATCTGCCCCTGAGCCCTGGTTCACACTAATGCAGTGCTGGAAACACTGCGAATCCTGTGCGTTTCCTGCAATGCATTGCAATTGCACGGTGTTCATGCGATTTGGCACAGGTGTCAATGTTAAATTAATGACACCCTGAAACATCGCGAAACGCAGAGCGATTACCAGAATTTGCATTGCATGGGTGTGAACACCCATGGCATGCTAATCAGGTGCGGAGAAAACAAGGGTCCTGTACTTTTTTGGTGCTGATGCGATGCGGTTTGAGCCATACAAAATGTATGGCTAAAAATCGCACCGCACAGACATCGCATGTGATTTGCTCAGGAATGTGGTGCGGTTCGTTTGCAAATCACATGTGATGTACTGTACCGCATTAGGGTGAACCCGGGCTGAAAAAGACTTGTCTGTGCCCTCACCTTCAGGACATCAGTCTTTTTTTTCCTGACAAAATTTTGCAAAGTATTACATTATCTGTAGCAGACACTGTGCATTCGAGTCCATGCAACCGTTCCCTGCCAGCGTGTCAAGTTTTGACATGCGACTGTGTCTGTGCAGCTGCTGCATCTACTCTATGGGCAGACTGCACACGGCTCCAAGGTAGATTCAGACGCAGCAAAATGCAGTTCAGCATGGAAAGCGGGGCTCATCGCCTGTCTGAATGAGCCCTCAAACAGCACATACTAAATGTATAAAAGTCTTGGGTAAACAGTAATTCACACTGCATGCTTGCTACCTAAAGTGGAAATGCATTGCATCTGAGCACCACAAACCAAAAATGCGATTTAATTTATTTTTAATATTAAAAGCAATCTCACCCATCCATTCATGTCTCTATGCTTTTTTTGCTGAGAAATCATTTTGAAAAACACCCTGGCATTTCTGGCAGTGACCATCTTGAGTAAGGGCATATGATCACTTACTTCCTGGAATCCATCTGGCATTGGCTGAGCTGAGAACCTTCCCTCCCCTCCTGAAGACTGCTGGGATGTATGACATCATTTGCCTAGGCCTGGAAACCAGGAAGTAACTGACGAAATGTAAGAAAAAAAAAAGTTTAAAACAAGTAAATGTGATCTTATCCATTTACTAATGCTAGCAGCATACGGATTAAAAATAGTCCATGTTGATTGAGAGAGTGAAGTTCTGCTTTAAAGTGGTTCTAAAGGCTGAAGATTTTTCACCCTCGTGCATTCTATTCATGAAGGTAAAAATCCTTCTGTGTGCAGCAGTGCCCCCAGATCCCTCAATACTTACCTTAGCCTAATCTCGATCCATTGGTGTGAAGGAAAGCAATGGCTCCAGCTCCTCATTGGCTAAGACACAGCGTGGTGGAAGGAAGGAGCGGGGGGCTCAGAAGTGAGAACACACAAATGCCCCCAGAGCAAGTAGGTTTCTCTGGGGGGAGGAGCCAGGAGCGCTGGCAGAGGATCAGGACTGCTCTATGCAGGTAAATATAACATGTTTGTTACTTTTTTTTTTTTAAAAGGGAACCTTTAGTATCACTTTAAGTGTAACTATGGGCAAAATAAAAAAGATAGATGTAATGTAGTCTATTGCCAGCATTCACAAAAGTTTTCTTTGTAATAGGCCTCAAGCACACTGGACGTTTTTCATGCTGTTAGCGGTGTCTGGATATTTTTTTCAGTTTCTAAATGCTTCTGTGTGTTAACTTCTGTGTCCATGCACACATAGGCATTTGGAGGCAGAAAAAAACGCTTTGCCAGTGCGTCCAGAAGCAGAAGCATTATGGTAAAAAAGACACTTGACACTTTTAAGCGCATCTAAATACGCATTAACATTAGGTGGATTTAGCGCT